GGAATAAGTAGAAGTATGTAGGCGTAAGGTCTGGTGAGTACAGCGAATGACGTAAAGTTTTCAAGCGAGTGACCAAAACTGGTTAGAGATGTGTAAATTTCTCCATTGTTGTGTTCAGTTCATCACAGTACACATCTACAGTAATGCTCATCCCGTTTGGTAAGAAGATGTGATGAATCAAACCGACGTTAAATCACCAATCAGTGACCATCACTTTCTACGGGTAAGTTTTCGTTTAGTACATTGTCCAAGTGCTGAATCAGGATCCAACTAATTAGCCGTGCACTTGTGATTGTCGCAGAATTCATTTTTGCCGCAGGTAACAATGTGGTTTAAAATTTCTTCGTTTGTGTGCCTGTTGAGCAGCGAAAAGCACGCCTCGACGCGTACTTTAGGCTGGCGATCACTGAGTTCGTCGGACACCCATTTGTCTAGCTTATTTTACCTTGCCAATTTGACGCAAATGGACCAATATTGTTTTCATGATAACGTCGAAAGCTGCTGCTAATTTTGACATAGATTGAGTATCAGTAGCTTCCACATTGGCCTTTAATTTGTCATTATCGACCAACGTTTTTTTTTTAATTTGTTTTTTCGAAACACTTATTATGCTACTATTTTACTCTGGTATTCTGTGAGAACGTGGCCCTTCCCCTGTCGAGCCGGCCCATTCGTGCTACAACTATACTAATATAGCTCAGCATTGCTTTACCACGTAAAAACCACGTAAACATCAACGTTTTCGGACGACCACGTGGTTCATTTTTCAGGTTGAAATTTCCAGAACGGAAGCGGCCAAATCACGCCAAAAACAAGAGGAGCGTTCGCTTGTAATATTTGCTCTGTAAACGTCGTTGACGTTGCGTGCCGCTTGTGCTGCGGTGCTGTCACGACGGTATTCATATTCCATAATTTCTCGAATTTTTATCATATCCATGATGATAGAAAAGATTTCATTGCAATGAAAACATAACGCCAATCAATAAACAAACAAATTTTGAAAAAAGAATTCCATGTCATTAAAATTAAATTAATTTGAAATTAGAATTAGCCAAACAAAAATTATTTTGAATTGAAATGGTCAGTATTCCAGAACGGCAATTTCATAGGTAAAGATCTTTTATTAAATCTGCAAGGAAGCAACCTAAAGATATAATTAGATTCGTCAAAGATGTTAAAATTAATAAGCCAAGATCAGCGTTAACAATAAAAATGAAACTGCTCTAACTACTGCTACTCGTAAAAACATGACGTCTTATAAACATGACTTCCTACTTTCCTCGTGATATTGCATAAACCATGGAGATAGGGGGGCGATGCTTTTATTTCAGGCAGTGCTTTTTGCAATATTCCATATTAAGCAGTAAAGTAAGAAAGTTTGTTTAGAAGTACGTATGTATGTATGTATTTTGTACTTAGCCAACGTAGTTTACAATGAGGGGCAAAAGTTAACAAGCATTTGTTTTACCAAACGATTACGATGTGTGCCTTGAAGGCAAGAGTCAATAGGCTTGTCAAAATGTCAGTGCACTTTATTATCTTTAGCTACATCAAGTGTCAAGCACCGACACTAATAATAAATAAAAAAAAACAACAATGATCATTATAAGATTTATAAATGACTTCAGTTTGTAAATAAACAAAAATGTAAATGTAACTGTATAGGTGTCCTTTACACAAATTGCATTCAGGATGCCCTTCATTGTTACCGATACGTCGACTCACAGCCCGGCTTTAGTCAGAACAATCGTCCCTTATTACTGAGAATATATCTTTCCGGCTCCCCGTACGGGGTAATTTCATCGGGCCAGATGTTATTAAAGGGAATGAAATGAATGATCGAATAGAGGATAATACTGATCCACGTGAAGTCGTATTAAACCTGAAGGATTGTGTATTGGTGCGGGAGCAATTCTTGGGAATACAGGTTCAGAGATAAACTTGTTAGCATCAATTAAGTGCGCAAAAAGCAAAATATACAGTGGTGTTAGATATAATTTTATTAAAGAAAATATCGGTAATATATTTGTTGTAAGCGCTTATTCCTAAGTAACTTGTTAACGAAAGCCAGCAAAATTATTGCACTGCTTGAGGAGTATTGCAGTCAATGCTTCGTGGCTCAAACGCTATATGTGAGTCGATTGATAGTCCAAAGGACTTAACAGTGCTATGAAGAGACCGGTTTCATAAAGAAAAAGCCTATTTCTGGCAGAAAGCCATGTACCGTACTACGAGATGATCGGTTTTTGTTGAGTCAAGCGTTGAGAAACCACGAACCTTAATATTTTAACTTTAGAACAACCTCTAATAAGTAATAAATGTGCAAATTAGTCTATAGACTGTCAGGAGGAGGCTTTTAGCTACCAATATACGTAGTCATCGCCCAGCCTGCGGCCCTATATCACTCCGTGAGCACTGATTTATCAGGCTTAGCTTCGCTTTAAATTGTGTGTCATAGACTCAAAAAAGTAGGATAGGGTATTGTTCTCCAATGAAGCAAAGATAGCTCTGTACGGTAAAGACTAACATCGGTTAGTGATGTAAGACTAGGAGAATGCTTTGCAGAGGCGTGTTTTGAAGAAATCACACCTTATGGTGGGTGCTCTGTTATGTTTTAGGCAAGAATAAATTCGTTGGATCATACACAGTTAGTCTTTATCGAAAACGGTACACTGAGTGTGTATTGATACTCAAATAAAGTTCTAATTCCTGATGCGCAACCGCATTGGCCGCTCTTGGCGAAAACTCAATTTTTATGGACAACATTCGCGCCCACCGGTCTGGCGATGTGGAAGCGTATAAGCTAGAGGTGGAAATCCGTCGTTTTTATTGGCCTGCTCGAAGTCCCGACCTAAATCCCATAGATAATGTCTGGGACGTTCTAAAGAGACAATTGACATCAGTGTAGCCGGCTCGACAGACCATGAAAAAGTTATAGAAAATGAAATATAAAAAAGTGTAAATATGGTTTACTATACTGTTTGTATGAACAATAATAGAACAAATAAAATTATATATTTTTTAGTTATCCAAAAGACTCCACTAGGTTAGTAGTAACTAAACAATAATTTATTATTTTTAAAGTAGATGTCAGATAGATACCTCATACAAAAACCTCAACATTGAAAGAAAACGTAAAAGTACCTAACTACCTATAAATTATTGAATAGTTATTTTTATAATGTTTATAACTGAATAATTATGTTCATGTTTTCAATTATAATTTCAAACGACAAGAGTAGTAAAACCTGTCGGTCGGAAAGATCTTCTTTTAATACGTTTTGATTATAAAAAAAGGAAACAACATATAATCTATGAGGATCACTTTGAACAATCCTGTATTAAGTTTTCTAAAAAATAATGTAAAATATTTATTTGGAAATGCTTTTCCAACACTCAACTTGCCAAACATACGACAATACTTATTCGAGTTCCATCCAATGTAATAATGTAACTGAAATGAATGTATGAATTGCTGGAACCAGAATTTCGCGAATATTTTAATCTCGAAAGAAATATTATAAATATTGGTATTGAAATATTATAAAGCTCGTGCAATATTGTATATTTGTTATGCCATGTGAGTGCTTTCTAATAAATTATTTAAAAAAAAGCTTTACGTTACATTATAATTTACCATTTAATTAATAAAAATTGTTGAAGAACAAAAATTATAAAAATAAAATATTTAGAAAAAGTAGTTTGTTTTAAAAATAAAGTATCTATATAATAAAAGCCTGATAAACGATTTTTATTTAATTTTAACAGCTCGTTAGAGGCTTTTTTTCTCTCTACGGTTTCTTTACTCATGTAATGAAATTGTAATAATAATCTAAAACCCACACACACACACACACACACACACACACACACACACACACACACACACACACACACTCACACAGACGTGCGCGCGCGCGCTAGCACTCACGCACGCACATACGCACGCACGCACACACCCACACACGCACGCACACACGCATACGCAAACACACGCAAACACACACACACACACACACACAGAAATATTTTGAAATATCATTTGATGAATATATTGTGATGAAATAATCCTTTGTGTATGATGTAAAATTTGTTGGTAAAGCATATATTTTCATCTACTTAATCTGTTTGTTGTGTCTGTAAAAAAATGTTTTTAGATTAAGTATTGAACTGAGTAGGTACCACATTAGTATTCGTTAATCAATATTACGGAGAGGGGGATTTCTAACACAAGTATTTATTCACTTAAAATAAATCCTCAATCATAACACTGCTTTGTAAAAACCGTGATACTGAATAAATTATTTGATTTATTTAATTTGATTTGATTTCTCTGCAAATTTGGCCGGTTATTGCAAAATAACACTGTATACATTTGGAAATGATCAATAACTTGAATACTTATTTCATATTGTTGTATCCATACGTAGGTATCTTTTTCTATTTACGTCATAGCTAGACTAATATTTTTATAAATTTTCATACTTGTGTATAAGAAATAAGAACTAGCTATAAAAGCCTTTATTCATTAATTTTTTACAGCCTATCAAAAGTCATTGACCTTCCCCATAGATTGCCTCATAGAGGGAAAGTATATGCGATGCTTGGTAGACGGGTTAGTTTATTTAAGTTTACATCCGTGGTCTCTCAGGGGTTAAACGTGTGCAGTTAATTTCACAGTACGCGAGCAACCCGGGTTTGATCCCGCCGGCACCAATGAAATTTTTAATTGCAATTTTAAGTGCAGACTCACCACTCGTTCGGTGGTGTTAAAAACCTCGTGAGGAAACCTATGTAGGCTATAACATTTTGTCCTTCTATAACTTCGATATCAACTTAATTTGATATCAAAAAGCTCATCCTCTGTGGTCTCTTACGACATCCACAGGATAATGTGTGTGACTAGATTCTCGTACGCCGCCACTACCCAGCGAAATCTGAAGAACTAATTCACGATGACGTACCATATCATTTATAATTAATAAATTTTCTCTTTTTAGGATTTGAAGACACACACGTCATGATATTTATTGGTTTTGGCTTTTTAATGACGTTTTTGAAAAAATATTGCTACAGCGCCCTAGGATTTAATTGGTTTCTTGCTGCTTTAGTGGTGCAATGGGCACTGCTTTGCCAGTCGTTTTACCATATGGAAGACAACATTATATATATTACAAAGAAGAGTTTACTTGGTAAGTATTTGGTACACTTCAAACGCAAATGTTTAATCTAAACATTCAACAAGTCTAGGTGACACTTTAATTTAGGATCTTTCTAATCGTCCGAAAATTGAATCAATGATAAATATATTTATTTGTCCTTTTTTCGATAAAATTGTAATTATTTAAAATATATTATATTTAAGAGTATTCTCAGTTGTATGAAACCCGCTATGTAATAATTATTCTAGTATAAATTAAAAGTGAAGTTTTACCAACTAGAGAATAAGCTTGGAAGGCCTTAAACTCTCAAAGTGGGAGTTTAAATGTTAAATAAGTCCATGGATTTGGGGTGTCCGTTGGGATACCCTGGCCGCACCTTAATCTACTTTCGCTGATATTAATTAAAATATATTTTCGTATTTTTGATTAATAATGTTCATTTATTCGTTCGATTGTAGGACAAATAGAGAATTTGTGTAATTTAATTAAATTATCACTATAAACAGTATTAAACAAAGGTTATCTATCTGCGTTATCCTTGTATTCCCTTTAACCTTAAGGCCCTTACTCGGCCACGTAAAAGTTGTTGGTTGTGCTCGGTTTTGAAATATATATTATAATATGTGTTTCTTTTGTTCTCAATAGTGAACTATTTTGTGTCTTAAAATGTTCTCTAATCTTATGCTGATAATGATATTGTAAAAGTGATATTTATATGTAAACTTTATTAAACATAAGAGCTAATCTACATTATAGACGACAAACGTTTCTCTGATTATAGAGTGAATTTGCCTGAATACACACGTTTGGCAGGCGAATTTAAAGTCACAGTAACAGACGTCTCTACCCCACTCGGTGCTCTCTGTAGCCGATATAATCTAATTTAGGTCACACAATTTCATTGACATATCTCTAAGTGGAATCTACGACATCCAAGATATGAAATCACATTATGAATTCTCAAATAGAACAGTTCCAATATTCACTATTTAAGGCAAAATAAAACTTTGCTATATATAGTGAATATAGTAAACTTTATTTTTGTATGTGGTTATGAACGTGGGCATGGAGGATTTATTTATTTAGGTGCGTTTCAGAACATACAAACAATTGCGCCCTACCGTACAATGTCATATCATTCTCTTCAATAGTAATAAGTAACGGTTATATTTTTTTTAATAATTCTACAATAAAAGAGTAAATAAAAATAAGTGAACTAACAGTCCATGTAATAGTTATTAATGCGACACAGCAACCAACCAAACAAATCACTCTTCCTCACTTATGGACTAATACATGTCTGGTAATAATTATCCATCTCCATTCCGCCGGTGGCGCCAAGTTTATTTTTTACAATCGTTATCAACAATAAAAAAAAAATTAATAAAGTCAACATTAAGTCACGTCTCTGATAAGTAACATTCCCACATTACCTCACAGTCTCGTAGGCCGATTTTGAATGAAATCAGCAAACGATGCAAGCGGCATAGAGGACGCCTGCTGCATTTTAACCCGGAGCGGTCCCCGACGCCGTGGAGTCTCAGGCCCGAACTCCACCAAAGCGGATATGTACGGAGATGTCCGAGATGTTTTTTAGCTAGGGTTTATCCATCAAAGCTGTATGGAGATGCATACTGGCTAGACTGGAGTGGAGATGTGTGCTGGCTAGAGCGGAAATGAGTGCGTGCAACGAGCATTGGATCTTGAGATGAACGCACAGTTTAGCGCGACCTGACACGAAAAACAGACGTCTCAGTCATGCCACTATTACAAAAATTGTATCTTCCTTTACTTAAAGAAAAAGGAAAGAGTCTGAAGAAGCAGAATTGATAGCTCTGTATCACATAAACAAGAGAACAAATCGATGCTCACTGTTCGCCGCCCTCATTTGTTTTTGTCTCCGCTGCACGCCGTCGACAGCTTGCGAGGCACAGCTCACATCTTCGCTTTTTACCGCCACCCAGCTAAATCTTAGCGACGCACAGCTCACAACTTTACTTCGATCATCATCATCATCATTATTACAGCCCTTCACAAGTCCACTGCTGAACATAGGCCCCCCCAAAGAATGCCACAAAGCACGGTCCTGAGCCACCTGCATCCATCGACTTCCTGTATGTCTTACCAGGTCGTCACTCCATCTCGTGGGGGGACGTCCTACACTTCGCCTACCGGTACGAGGCTGCCACTCGAGAACCTTTCTTCCCCATCGGTTGTCGGTTCTTCGAGCTATATGGCCGGCCCACTGCCACTTCAGCTTACTAATCCGTTGGGCTATGTCGGTTATTCTGGTTCTACTGCGAATATCCTCATTCCTAAGTTTATCACGCAGAGAAACTCCAAGCATAGCCCTCTCCATAGCTCGCTGAGCGACCTTGAGCTCCCTCATACGGCCAGCAGTGAAGGACCACGTCTCAGTTCCGTAAGTCATCACTGACTTACTTCGATCGCGCCATTAAAATATGATACGTCCCCGCTCAGTGGTCGCCACTAAAGCAGAGTGGAGACGAGATGGGTGAAAAACGAAATTCTATGGATTGTTTCAAACATATCTCCTCTCTTCTTGTCTCAAACATATCTCCTCTCTTCTTACCTCATCTCCACTTTGGTGGAGCCCGGGCCTCATTTGCCTCAGGTGACTTGAGGCTTGCCAGGGTTAACCTGTCCGCAAAAAAGACTACAACAATGATTTCAGCCAGTGGAACACCTCATATATCGGACACCTAGTAGTATGCCAGGTCTAACTTTTATGTTAACCATTTCGGCCTTCACGATGTTCCCGCCATATGAGATGGTAATGTCAACCAAATAATATCCTTAACTTTGCTCAATCCGTCACCACAATATCAGGCTTATATTTACAAGAATAGTTTTACGTATGATGATGGACCAATCCTAATAGAGACTAGTGTGGTCATTCTCGAGCATGACTTTCGTTAAGTACTTATAATAAAGCAGTTTTCCACAGTTTTCCAGTTTTTTAAATACCGTCCACGAGGCCGTATTTCAGAGCTAGTTCCTGGTATAAATTACTGGCTTCTAAGTTATGGTGTATGTTCTTGGGTACTACGTTGAGGTTGAGTTATATTTGTTTTGTCTTTCTCCTTCATTTTGTATTTTTCTATTAACGCTAACAATTATAGAAATTCAAGTTGGCTAACTCCGCAGTACTGCTAGCAACGCTTTTGACCGTCGACGTGTTACTTCATGACAAATTTCTTCGTGCGGGTTGTAATTTTTTTTAATAGAATAATGGTGTCAAACGAATACAGTCAACCTGATGGTAAGTAGATTATATGGTCTATCTATCCTCAATTAGAAACAATAGTGCAGATACGTTGTCTACCCGTCAGGACTCAGATGGGGTAGCTTATTTCCAGTGAAAAGGTCTCCGATCCTCTACACTCACCATACGATACACAGCAGCAGTAAGCAGCTATTTTACGCTGGTATTCTGGGAGAGCGTGGTCTTTCCCCGGTGGAGCGGACTCAATCGTGCAACAAGCATAATGTAGCTGTAGCATGGCTGTACCACTTTTAATTACACCAACTCTTTGATTATTCAACCAGTAGTTAAGGCACTCCTACATAATGGTATATTACACGTGGTACAGCCATGCTACAGCTATATTATGGTTGTAGCATGAGTGGGTCAGCTTGACCGGGGAAGGACCACGCTCTCACAGAACACCAGCGTCAAATAGCAGCTTAACACTGCTGTGTTTCGTATGGTGAGTGTAGAGAACCGGAGACCCTTTTTACTGGAAACGAGGCATTCCATCTTAGTCCTCACAGGTGACAAAGCATCTGCATTTTCATTCGTAATTGAACATAGATGTAGATGTCTATGGACCACAGCAACCACTTACCATCAGGTGGATTGAGTGCTTGTTTGTCACCCTTATCCTATAAAAGAAAAGTAATAGAATATTAGGTGGTACTTACCCAGATGAAATAGAAGCCCCACCATCTAGTGTTTTATATTTAATAAATACGTATTTAGTATAAATGTACGATATTTACTATTTTTTACAGAAGCTGATATTATGTCGGCAACTGTACTAATAACATTCGGAGCACTTCTAGGAGTTGCCAGTGGGACCCAACTGTTGTTTATAGCTATTATTGAAACTGCGATTGCCTGTCTGAACATGTGGCTCGTATCGAATGTGTTTAAAGTAAGTTTGTTGTAATAAGAAAGAAGAAAAATAATATTTTTGTTATAGTCACTAATATTAGAAAAGTGAAAGTTTGTATGATCGAAGTCCAATTACGCCAAGACTCAGTATAATTAAAATTTGGCTAAGATTATGTTAAGTAATAGGACGTAGAATAATTATGAGCATATAATTAATTAAGAGCCGTGGTAGCTCAGTAGCTAAGCGCATGCCGTATATTTCACAATATGCGATCCACATCGGCATCAAAGAAATTGTTAATTGCAATGTCAAGTGCTAATTTATTGCATGCTCGGAGGTGAAGAAAATTAACATGAGAAAACCAAAATGTGTAAGGAATGAAATATTTTGAGAACACTTGAAGTTCAATAACACGTACAAAACGGGAAAAGTTAAAAGTGCTAATAATTCTTTGGTTTTAATAATCGCGGTAATATATTATCATATTCATTTAAACGGCAGAAATAAATATAGATAACAAGATAACCATAAGAGACAGAATCTCATACCATTTCGTAGGTATCGTATGAGTGAACGGAGGGAAAGGAAATAGGCAAAAACAGAGGCTGGGAACAGCACCTTTCTGATATCCACTAAATATAATAAAAACCGAGATTGTTTGTCAACCTGTCAAGAGTGGCAAACACGCCAAATATCCTATAACACAACAAACTACGAGGAAGATCATTTCAGCTGTGGACTTTTGATAGGCCGTAATTCATGAATAAATTAATAAATTGTTCTACGTACGTAAGTTGTATCATTGTATGACCGTTTCAGCAATTGACAATATTTACGTACATTTTAATGATATTCAAAATACTTTTAATATTATTAAAATAAAATTCGCCTCTTGCAAAACCCACGATATATTATGGGTAAGTGTATTTTCTTACGCTGCCACTACACAAAAACTGAAACAGGAGATTGGCAGTAGCATCTTCCTCATAACGGCTCAAAATCATAGGAAACTGTGGTCACCAACCCACCTGCTAAGTGTGGCAACTATGACAAATATAAGGCAAATTATAGGGAAATCTAATGTTCAGCAGTAGACTTCTGATTAGTATATAATGAAAATGAATGATATTAAAACATGCCGCTAAAATGTAAGGTAATAATATATTTTTAAGTAGTTTTTTTTTACTAGATAAGAGTGACAAACGAGCACACAGTCCACCTGATGGTATGTGGTTACTGTTTTTACTTTCCAGTAAAAAGGGTCTCATTAGGGTATAATATTTATCATTTATTTATTACCGCCTTTAATATTTTTATCACTCTTCTAAGTTTGAGTGATGGCTATAGCAAGTCCGCCTTTTGTTCCTATAGTTATATGTAAATTCCAATTAAAACGTAGTTATTATACACCCCTTGTTTTACTTTTTAGTAATAAATTATAACTTTTTATTTAATTATTATTAATCAATTTTCAGGCTGCTGACGTTGGTGGTTCAATAGCCATACATACGTTTGGCGCTTACTTCGGACTTGGTGTAAGCTGGGCACTAAGACCGAGGAAAGCAACTCCTACAGATTCAACTCCATCTGTAGATCTTAACGGCCCCAGCTATACATCTGATGTAACGGCAATGATAGGTACAAATTAATACTTATCGATAATGTTTTTGTGAATACTTTAATTTATAAATAATTACAGCCAAACACATTTTTATAGAATAAATTTAGCAAACGAGCACACAGTAGACTTGATAGTAAGTGCATGCTATGGCCCATAAACATCTACATATATCCTCTATAAAGAATCAAAATGCAGATGCGTTGTCAATCGTGAGGACTAAGAAATGCCTCGTTTCCATTAAAAAGTCTCTTCGGATCTCTACACTCACCACATGAATCATAGGAGTATTAAGTTGCTATTTTATGCTGATATTCTGTGAGAGGGTGGTGCTTCCCCGGTCGAGCCGACCAGTTCGCGCTACAACCAAAATATAGCTGCAGCCTGGCTCTACCACGTTCACGTAAAAATAATGATATAGGAGGTTATAAAATCTTAAACAATACGCATTAATTATAGGCTAGAATATAGGCTAGATTGAATACTAGGTCATGAACTTGCGACTATTGTATTGTCATCGGTTTTTATTACAACTGCAAAATTAGAGATTATGCAGACGTTTAGAAATAGGTGGATGAATTATAAATAAATATTACACACATAAAAATTCTATGCCTTATTCCTTATTAATGAAAAAAAATGTAGGACTGTAAAGTAACAAGAGCCTTTTTAGGAAGCTACCGTTTACCAAAAATCCAGCATTATATCGAAAATAGACAAGGTACTATTTGACATCATTTATAGCTTTAAAAAATATAATCTGCAGTGCAGATTATATTTTTTAAACAGATTCTGCACAGTCCCGTTGATGTGGATCACTCGTGCATTTTTGATTTTTGTGGGAGGTTTATTACCACAGTGCCAGACGTCACGCATTAATGACGCTACCTATAGTCACCAATTTAGTTATATTTGATTTAACATACTTATACGAATATGCAGCTGAATTATCTAAAGCTGATGTGTGCGTAACTATGCAAATATTTAATGCAGTGCAGTGTAAATGCTGCTGAAGTGTACCACTTAAATAATGAATCTGTAGGATTCAAAATAAAACACTGTTGGCCGTAACGCCTTGCTAATGGTACTGAATTTATAATAAAACAAAATACTAGTACAATGCAGTCAACTTACGTCATACATGGGCACGCGGTCCAATTACGCTAACATATAAAAATGTACGGGTTTATTAGTACTGCTGCTTTATACTGGGTATAATAATAGCTTATACCAATAGAAAAAAATAGACGGAGCGCAAAAATCAAGCTAAAACCAGGCAGTCACGTACACTTATGCATCTGAAACAATTTGCAAGAAACAAAAATGTACGTAGCACTCTATTTATCTTTCCTTGTTGATCAATAATTTATGATAAAAATTACATTATATCTTCTTCTTTCTTAAATAGCCAAAACTAGAAATAGCTGGACCGATTTTGATAAAAATATTTGTGTGTATTTGTGTGTCCCTGGATGATCTAAACGATTCAAAATAGGACTTGGTAGATGGCGCTTTTGTCGAGATCCAGAAATCACCCGTGCGAAGCCGGGGCGAATCGCTACTTGTTTATTTAAAATGGCACATATAAGGTGTATAAAATGTATTAACAAAACATTGTAGTGTACTGTCCTTACAGTCACAATGTATCTAAAGTCTACTGATGAACAAAGACCTCCTAAAAAATTCATCATAGGGGGCTATTTGCTCGTTTTGCAGCGCTTGGCGAGCGGGTTGATAACCGCGGTTTTTTAATTTTTTTAAGTTGGTATTAGGAAGACGCTGCTGAGCATCTCTTGGTTTGTTTATCTAAATCGTGTCTTACGTCACCCATCGGGTAGGGAATGTTCTTACACTACCACTACGCGGTCATTATATATTATTCATTATTTATTATAGTGTACATTTAAATAATATATTTTTTAGAATATGGTATCAAGAGTTGTAACATGATATTGTGACGTTACTTACAGTAGTCATAAGTATATGCAACTACGTATTGACAATTTTCTCACGACCGAATTTCGTTCAACTGAACAGGGCAGAATATGGTGCACCAGTGAACCTTTTATTTTCATACACTCATTATCTTTATTCTTTCAGAACAGTCCTTAAATTACACATTAATAAAATTACACATTCCAATGACCTTAGAGCAACGACCATTGACATTAATATATTATGTATTTTCACGCACAGGGTCAATATTCCTGTGGATTTACTGGCCATCATTCAATTCCGGCTTAACGAATTCGAATGCCGAATATCAAAGGGCAATTATAAACACGTATTTATCATTGGCTGCAGCGACCGTAAGTATATCTAATTATAATTTTAAAATTATTATTCAGCGATTCAAAAATACATTCTCTTTTTACGTTTCTATACTTGAAGTTGTGAAATTGCATAACATAACTAGGACACATGTTATATTGAAACCTATACTATCAGTTTTTGCTGCTATTTTACGCTGGTATTATGAGAATATGATCTTTTTCGGTTAAAAGAATATTAAAGTCATCATTATTACACCCCTTAACAAGTTCACTGCTGAACATCCCCCTCCAAGTAAAGCCACAAAACACGTTTCTGAACGGTACGGATTAGTAAGCTGAAGTGGCTATGAAACGGCCTTATAGCTCGAAGAACCGACTACCGGTGGGGAAGAGAGGATCTCGAGTCTTTGTACCGGTAAGCAAACTGAGTGCCCCCCCTCCCACTAAATGGAGTGACGATCGGTATGATATGCAGGAAGTCGATGGATGCAGGTGGTATAGGACCGTTATACATAATTTGATGCATAAAATATTATCTCATTTTAAACGCGCTTTATAGTATGTTTAAGAATATATAACCAATGAGGTTGTAGGAGTATTTCTTGCCTGCAAATCTGTCTGGGTTTGCAGCACCTGCTTGCCAATATACGCTGCCGAGAAGCAGTCCACCCATTGATGTTACGGATTTATACCAAGTCCAAGTATAATAGTTACTGGCTGCGAGGCATATCATCTTGACCTTGTAGTAGACCTAGTGGTAGAGCCACGCTGCAGCTATGTTATGGTTGTAGCATTAATGGATTAGCTGGAACGTGGTAGGATCACGCTCTCACAGAATATTAACGTAAAATAGCAGTTTAATGATGTGTTTCGTATGGTGAGTGTAGGGAACAGGAGACTCTTTTCACTGGAAACGGGGCATTCCATCTTAGTGCACAGGGGTCTGCATTTTGATTCCTTATTCAGTATTAATGTACATATATATGAACCACAGTATCCACCATCAGGTGGACTGTGTACTCGTTTGTCAACCTTGTTCTATAAAAAAAAGTTTAAGAAGATGTCGTCCCGTGGGTATCGTAAGACGCGACAGAGGGTAAAAAATGAAAGGAAGAAGGAGAAGGTCAACAGCGTCTTCTTAATAAAAACAATATAAATAATCTGCACTTGCCAACCCAACTGCCGAGCTTGACAACTATGGCAAATATTCTCCTTATTAGGAAATCTTATTTCTTTGAAAAACAACAGCTTTCTTCATTTGAATTTTGTTGCAGTGATTATGGGCTGTAGTAAAATTACAATTACGTGATTGTCAATTATTTTTACATTCACTATCCTTCCATATTATTAAAATCATCGCATTCATAAGTTGTTAAAGTTTTCTTCAGGCCAAACATACTTCGAAGTTAGCAAAATAAGGAAGCGGAGCTTATGGCGTGCATTGAAATAATTATTGACCTATAACCCCCTCAGAGCTCACGAGATTACAACATATCATTTTGTCACAATACTTGTAATTCGAGCCGACTTTATGGGTCAAAGAATCGACAATCGATAGGAAGGAAAGGTCGTCTAATGGAGACCCCCCTCCACCCATAGGTCAAGTGACGTAAGATATTCAGGGTATAGGTGGCTCTGGACCGTGTTTTGAATCATTACTTTGGGGAGGCTTACATCCACCAGTGAACTTATAGGACTGTGATGATTATTTTTTTATAGGAGAGAGAGCAAACGAGCATATGTTTCTCCTGATGGTAAGTGACTACCGCAGCTCATGAACAACTGCAACATCAGGGGAATCGCAGGTGCGTTGCCGGCTTTTTAAAAAGTATTAAGCTCTTTGAAGGTCTCTAAGTCGTATCGGCCCGGAAAAATCGCCTTATGATGAACCTTCTCAGAAAAGAGGATATATAAATCACAAAACGTGTTTACCCTAAAACTTTAACTTTTGAAAGATTTACCGTATTACTGCGACTGCGACTCCAACTAAAGTTTTCAATTATTTAAGAAAGAAGGTAGGAAGAAAGAAAATAATAAGTTTATTTAGTAACATATTATTATAATTTGCTTACAATAATAACACGTTTTAAAATTGGGTGGTTTGATTACACAGGTTACAACGTTTGTTTTGTCATCTTCCGTTAGCAAGCACGCTGGGAAACTGGATATGGTGCATATCCAAAACTCCACCCTGGCTGGTGGTGTAGCTGTGGGATCTGTATGTAATATGCATATAAGTGCTGGCGGTGCTATTGCCATTGGTATTGGTGCTGGAATTCTAAGCGTACTAGGCTATACGTTTTTGACGGTGAGTGACATATTGAAGAAGTTTGAAAATTATTTTATAAACTGAATTTCAATTTACATGGTATCGCTAATAATAATTAAATTAAAAGTCTAAATTTTTTATCATAAAAATAATTTCTAAATATTAATTAACAAATAGAATAATATTCGGATGTTGGAATCATCATCATCATTCATCATTACAGCCCTTCACAAGTCCACTGCTGAACATAGGCCTCCCCCAAAGAATGCCACAAAGCACGGTCCTGAGCCACCTGCATCCATCGACTTCCTGCATGTCTTACCAGGTCGTCACTCCATCTCGTGGGGGGACGCCCTACACTTCGCCTACCGGTACGAGGCTGCCACTCGAGAACCTTTCTTCCCCATCGGTTGTCGGTTCTTCGAGCTATATGGCCGGCCCACTGCCACTTCAGCTTACTAATCCGTTGGGCTATGTCGGTCACTCTAGTTCTACTGCGGATATCCTCATTCCTAAGTTTATCACGCAGAGAAACTCCGAGCATAGCCCTCTCCATAGCTCGCTGAGCGACCTTGAGCTTCCTCATACGGCCAGCAGTGAAGGACCACGTCTCAGTTCCGTAAGTCATCACTGGCAACACGCACTGGTTGTACAATTTCGTTTTAAGGTTTTGAGGTATGTCTGACGAGAAGATGTGTCGTAGCTTCCCGAACGCTGCCCAGCCGAGTTGAATCCGTCTATTGACCTCTCGGTCGAAGTTGGACTTACCTAGTCGGACTATTTGTCCCAGGTAAACATACTCGTCAACAACTTCGAGCTTAGTGCTCCCAACAACTACCGGCATAGGTGTGACATGGACATTAAACATGATCTTTGTTTTGTCCATGTTCATCTTAAGACCTATCCGTTGGGAAACACTATTGAGGTCATTGAGCATAGTGCTTAGGTCCTCCAGCGATTCTGCCATAAGGACTATATCGTCGGCAAATCGAAGGTGAGTGATGTACTCGCCATTGATGTTGATACCGTATCCTTTCCAGTCCAGAAGCTTGAAAACGTCTTCCAATGCAGCGGTGAAGAGTTTCGGGGATATGACGTCACCCTGTCTTACACCTCTCTGCAATTGGATAGGTTTCGTACTCTGGTTCTGTACTCGGATAGCCATCGTAGCCCTACTGTACAAGCACTTCAACACTTCGATATACCGACAGTCAACTTGGCACCGCTGAAGGGACTGTAGCACCGCCCAAATTTCGACGGAATCAAAGGCTTTCTCATAGTCCACATACGCCAGACATAGTGGCAAATTGTACTCTTCGGACTTCTGTACAACTTGCCGAAGGGTATGTATGTGGTCTATGGTGCTAAAGCCCTTTCGGAAACCGGCTTGTTCGGGAGGCTGGAAGTCGTCAAGTCTGCGCGCGAGACGATTCGTAATGACTCTCGAAAACAGCACGTAGACGCGGCTCAGAAGGGAAATCGGTCTGTAGTTCTTCAAGAGAGCGTTGTCACCTTTCTTGAAGAACAAGACCACCGCACTTCTGCTCCACGCCTCCGGTGTAATGCCACCATGCAGGACGGAATTAAAGAGCTTCTGAAGGACTTCAAGTACCGGTCTTCCACCCGCTTTCAGAAGCTCCGCTGTAATTCCATCCTCGCCTGGAGCCTTACCGTTTTTAAGGTGCTGGAGAGCCATTCTAATCACGCTCAGACTGACATCCGGGATATCTTCGGAATAGTGTCGGATGAGACTCGCTCTTGGATCGTTACTCACACTTGCGTGTGGCTCCAACGATGATGTGTACAGCTGCCCATAGAACCTCTCAATCTCACTCAAAATCTCAGGTGTCCCGGAAACGATGCTGCCACATTCTGTCTTCAGCTTTGACAGTTGGCTCTTTCTGGCAGACAGATCTCTGGCAAAGACTTTGGAGCCTTGGTTCCGCTCGATCGCTTCTTCAATACGAGCTGTATTGAAGTTGCGTAAGTCCCGCCGCATGCATTTGGAGATCTGTCTGTTCAGATGCCTGTATGCTGTCAAGTCTGTTGAAGAATGTAGCTTCATCTCCCGTCTAACAGCCATGAGATTAAGAGTGTGATCGGAGAGTTTTTGTGTTCTTCTGCGGCGGGTCTTGCAGAACTTAGCTCCGACCGCATGGACAGTTTCCACGAGCTTGTCATTCATATCGTCCACTTCATTGCAGTCTTCCAGGCACTGAAAACGGTTTTGTAACTCGAGCTGAAAGGTTTCGGGACTTTGGAATAGAGCACGAGGGGGACGGAGCGTTGACTTCATTAGACGAGACCTCTCCAACTTAACGTTTAGGTTCAGTGTGCCTCTAACCATTCGGTGATCGCTACCAGTTTTCACCCTCGCGATCACGGAGACATCACTGAACAGTTGTCGTCTGGTCGTCATAATGAAGTCAATCTCATTTTTTGTGGAACCGTCGGGGCTCGACCAGGTCCACTTCCTGTGGGGCCGCTTCTGGAAGAAAGAGTTCATCATAAAGAGTCCCTCTTTCTCCATGAAGTCGGCCAGCTGCTGGCCCCTTGGGTTCCGTTGCCCTATTCCAAATTTCCCTACTTTCAGCTCACCGTTCTCTCTTGTGCCTAGTTTTGCATTGAAGTCTCCCATTAACACCGTATATTGGGTTTTGGAGGAATGCATGGCTCTAGAGATATCCTCATACATTTCCTCCACCTCCTCTTTGGGGTGTGCCGAGGTTGGTGCGTAAACCTGTATGACCTTCAGCGAATACCGTTTGGTGATTCTGAGTATAAGGTACGCAACCCTCGTCGACACACTCCCGATCTTTACAACGTTGTTAACGAGAGACTTGTGGACGATAAATCCGACACCTCCTTGGGACAGATGGTCGCCCTCCCGGTGATAGAGCAAGTTGCCGGATTCGAGGATTACCGTGTCCTCCCCCTCTCTTCGGACTTCGGATAATCCTATAATATGCCAGCGCAACTTGTCTATCTCTTCTTCCAGCTCCACAATCTTCTCGTCAGTCCTCAGGGTGCGTGCGTTGTACGTTGCCAGGTCGAGTCGTCTAAGGTGGCAACCGAACCTCCACCGGAGATTCTTAGCACCCCCTGCCCCGCCGTTACCATGGTTGCCACCGTAGCCAGGAATAGCGGGGCCGCCGGGGACTGGGGGCCGTTTCTTTGTTACTGTCATTCATAGGGGGGTATTTGCCATAGTTGCCACGCTTGGCGAGCGGGTTGGCAACCGCAGTTTTTTTTTATTGTAATTTGGCTATTATCAGGAAGATGCTGCTGCCCATCTCCTGCCTGTTTCCCTTTGTCGCCTTTTACGACACCCACGGGAGGATATGGGGTAGTGGATATTCTTGACCGCCACTACACGGCAATGATGTTGGAATATTTAATACTAATTACAATTAATGTATGTAATAATTTGTTACAGCCGAAACTAACAAATTTTGGCATCATAGATACGTGTGGTGTAAACAATCTTCACGGTATGCCAGGGATACTTTCAGGACTTCTCTCTATTTTGTTTGCTGCTCTAGCTACAAGTCATGGATATGGAAAGGAGTTGGAAGGGATATTTGAAGAAATGAAACAGGTATGGGTTGGTAAATGATAAATATATTAAAGTAAGATGCATTGTCAAAAGAACACCCAGGTTCGGTCCCCACCAGCATTAATGAAATTGTTAGTTAAAACTTTACTATGTTCTCGGCGGTTAAGGAAAACATCGTGAGGAAACTTGCATGTCTGAGAAATAAAATATTTGGAAGACTTAAAAAGTCTGCCAACACGCACTGGAGAAGCATGGCGGCCTAATTTGTCAAAAAACCTCTCAAATATAAGAGGAGGCTGTGTCCAGCTGTTGAATTAAACTGTAAAATTTAAGTTATATTGATAAAGTATGAGCTAATTCAGAAAATATTTGCACTATTGTTTCGTGGACAGACGGAAAGATAAGTAGATAGTCAGACAGGCAGACAGATAGATAAGTGAACATTGCGAGTGGAACACACACATACACACACACGCGCGTGCGCAGCGCGCGCACGAACTCGCCAACGCACACGTTTCTGTCATATAAAATTAGCAAAATTCGAATTCAAAATACAACAATACCAAAAGTATCACATTGATTGTGTATACACACACACACACACACACTGTGTGCGCGTTTGTGTGTGTGTGTGTGTGTGTGTGTGTGTGTGTGTGCGTGTGTGTGTATGTGTGTGTTTGTGTGCGTGCGTGCGTGCGTGAGTACTTTCTTGCATGCGTGCGTGCGTCCGTGCGTGCGAGCGTACTAAATTAAATAATGAAACATGAGTAAAATTATTGACAAAAATTATATTGTAACGGAATGGACGCAATACTGGATGATGTGACGAAAAATAAATAAATATGAATACAAGAAGAGGCCACAATAATAATTTTACAGAAGCTGACTGAAGAATTAAAAAGTATAATGTATATGAAGTAATATAATGTAAATGTATAATGTAAAAGTATATATAATAGTACTATGAAGGCAACTAACAAAGACTGAGGAAAATAAAAAGTGATTTTTTATATAATGACCAAAGACCAAAATTTAAGAAAAAACTGCAACTTGCAAGCTACGTCCAGAAGAATATGAAAATTTAGCCAAAAAGAACAATGAACAAAATTTGAGGTAACATTAGATCAGCGAATTTTTTGGCATCTATTTTTAAGATTTCTTTAAAAAGTTTTATAACTATTATAAAAAAAGTAATATATTTAATATTCTGTATTTAATATATTATGTTTAAGTTGAAATTAATTATTAGATACTTAATATTAACGATTTATTTGTTATTTTATTATAGTTTAAAAAAAAGGAATCATATTACAATATTATAAATTAAGTTACTTAAGCGCTTCAGTGGCATTTGTATTGAGGCAATTTTTTAGACGATTTTATGTTCCCTTCTATTCAGTAATAACAAAAAAATTGTGAAATATTATGAAAGATTACATTTTTACGTACTGAATTTTACCAAATTTAGAGTTGAAATAACAATGTGTTACGTTTCGTGGTATTTTTCTGTATTCTTTTAATATAAAATGTATACAATTTTTAAAAGGCTTTTAAACATTCGCTATTGTTAAATGTTTTTTTTTTCTTCTCTAAAGGCAATGTAAATCCTTAAAGTTATATGTTGACCTATTTAAAAATTGAAATTGTTCTTTTGAATGTTTAAATAAATTAATGTTTTGTTATATAAACTCAATAGTAGTTGTAGTAATTTTATAATAATGCTGTGTATACGAAAAAAATAGCATCATATTTCTAACGAAAGTAAATTATGAAAAAAAAAAAGCTAATGTATTTTTCGATGTATTTAAAACTAATATTCTGTATAAAATTATGATTTTGAGCTAAATTTTACGTGCATTCATATTACCTATTACAAATTATACAAGTTATCTTAAAATTAGGTATAAACTACACCGTGTGGTCATAGTTCGATGTAATCACAAACGATTCCATATACGTACTTTGGATTTAAAACAAAGGTGCGTCAAATTGCTTGCGCTGCTAGGATTACAATTTGTATTTTGATCTGTCTGTTTTTAAGTGATTATGTTATTTTTACTAAAAATGGTTTCGTTGCTTTGACTTCTTTGTTCTCTATCTTAATATGAAATGTAATAATTTATTAATCTCGGTTTTATATTGATTGAATTTTCAAAACATAAACTTTAAATTTTTATAATTCATTATTTTTTGGGGAAATAGTAAAATTTTAATATCTGTATTATTTCTGTGGATTATGAAAATAATTAGGTACTTCGTTTAATACGATTTTGGAACTCATTATATTATGTATACGAGAACAATTAATTAATTTAAATTTTGTTGTACCCATATTGTTAGCCTCAAACCCTGACTGACAATGATGTAAATAAATATTATACGAGACTATAAATATGATATAATTTATAAAATACGTAAGTGAATTCCTGGATAAGTTAAGGAATACATAATTATGAATGAAAAATATTGACCGAAATAGGAAAAAGTGTGACAAAGGTAAAGAAAAATAATCGGAGATTAGCATATCCACATACAATATGCCTGATAAGCTGAGAGTTTTGAAAACCTAATAACTGATTAATTTTTAAAATCTGTTTGGATTAGATAAAAACCGGAATGAGTCACTAACTATTGTTATTGAGTGAAATGAGAATTTATCAAGAATTATATAGGAATATTGTCGATTAACTTGATCGTGTATGTACGCCGAGCCGTGTTCGTGAAAGTATTGGTGCAATTAAATAATAAATTATAGGAGCTGAAATGCTATTTATGTAAAGAAGTGAATGAAAAGTTATTAGTCATTGTCTTGGTCATGTAATTTACGAGAGACGTGTACGTGAAAGAAGCGACACAAATATTTAATGAATAGCTAAAGTTCAAAAAATTAAAATGGAAAATAAGTAATGGTTAACTAAGAATAAAGTAAATATATGAAATAAAAGAAAGTATTCAAATGCGATAACAATATATGAAAATGAGAAGAGTATTATAATAGTTCGGAGAAGAAAAGTCATATGATGAAATGGTTTAAGTGACTAAATGACTTAAGTGACTGAGTTAAAATGCGCTACAACTTAATTGTGAAAAAAATATGTATACATAATATGTAAACGTTTAGTATTAATATACTGTGACGAAACCATGTTCAAGATTGTGACCTCGATATTAATTTGGGACAGGGGGATCTGGTCACCCGACCTACCCATATAATATACTTATACTTTACTTTATTTTTGTTCTCGTGAATAAGCCTGTTAGCCTGCCAAGTATGACAACTAAAACCAATCACCCCTACAACGGTAGAGATTCGCAGTGGTCTTTTACGGGCTTTAAAGAAGATTTTATAACCTTTATCTAGGAACACAGCAGTACGAGCACCGCTATTTGGCGGTTAAAATAGATGAGAGGGCGGTACCTACCCAGGCGGACACCTAGGTAGAATAAGAGTCCTACTACTTAGTATATAGTTGCTGTCAGTCGCCTTGCATCGATCATTAATTCTGCGGTCATGCAACATTACATGTATGACCTCACATTTATAGCTTTTGTGACAATTTGCAGATATTACTATCCCGTTACCATTTAACTTTACTAACAGTATAGGGTGGAGGTTATACCGTTGACTTTAGTTATTTCGCAGATATATTCACAAACTATCATCGAGGATAATTAATACATTTTAATTTTGCAGGACGGTACCGGCAGATCATCTGGAAATCAAGCCCTCTATCAGTTACTGGCATTAGCTGTCACTTTGGGGATTTCTATTGTTGGTGGTATTATTACTGGTAATGTATTTTTTTTCATTTGACAAGGTTTTAAACATTTACTATAATTCATTCAATAATCTAGCAAATGAGTTACTTGTCGTAGCCTTCAAGAAAAACTAATTCACTTGTAGTATGATTAATTTATTTTCTTCTTTTCTTTTCAGGTGCACTTGCTAAAATGCCAGTATTTGTTCCACTTAAGGACACTGAAAAATACGACGATGAAGTAAACTGGGAATTACCCTAAGCGGGTTGACCTTAAAATAAGACAAATGTGTGGATTCAACAATGCTTGTAACTATTGTATTATTTACGCATATTTTTAATTTTTAATTGAAAAGTATTATTCATACATATATTACGTATATTATTTAATAATTTATGTATAATATTTTCAATAAAATACTCATTTTTTAAAGTTGTTTTAATAACATCTATTACAAACTAGCCGTTACCCGGAGATTTGCTGCTGCAGAAGAAGTAATTGTGGAAATATCGTTTTAAATTTGGAAGAGTTATATTGTTTCATTAAGTATGATAATACATTCTTTGAAATTGAATACTATATAACCTTAAAATAAATTTGTTTTTGTGATACTCGCGCCACCTCCTGTAAGTTAATTGTACTATGCCTATAAACTTCGCGCAAGTGCAAACAAGAAGTTGACAAAGTTTTAACTTTGTCTGATGAACGGTATGGCAACGCGTAAAATAGGATTTACCACCAGTTGGGATTGTGCTCTAGCACTGGCTTATAATAAGTTAAAAAAATATAATTGTACTATATATTATATTGTTAATAAATATTTGTAAAAAGTTCCGCTGGGTTTCCTGCTAGTTCTTCCTAGTATGGAGGTTATGAAACTTTTAACTTTTACATTTACCACCAGGCAGGATTGTTGTTGAGCATTGGCTTATAATAAGTTAAAAAAATATAATTACACAACAAATTATCATTACCATCATTATCATTACAGCCCTTCACAAGTCCACTGATTAACATAGGCCACCCCCAAGAAATGCTAGAAAACACGGTTCTGAGCTATCTGCATCTATCGACTTCATTCATGTCATACCAGGTCGTAACTCCATCTAATAGGGGGTTGCCCTACACTTCACCTACCGGTACGAAGCTGCCACTCGAGAACCTTTTTTTCGTATCGGTGGTCGGTTCTTCGAGCTATATAGCCGGTTCATAGCTTACTTATTCGTTGGGCATATGTAAGTAACTCATTTGCTATATAATTGAATAAATGGAAACTAATTTTTACGGATTTTTTCGCCTTCACGCGATTTCGGCAGGCTTAGCACTTATACGCTCTTCAATTATAGGCTATAGATTTAGCCCTTTATCTAGGGACAATTTTGTCTACAGTGACTATAGGGACACTTATGTCTACTGTGATATTACCCAATCATTGTATTCGTAAACAACAGTTCTTTTCGCAAAAAGGTTGTCATTGATAACTCGCTTATATTCTACCGCTATATAATTTATTTCATTTTGTTTGAATTTTAACATTTTTTGGAGTACAATAAAGAATATATTTATTGATTGGATTGATTCCTATATTTTTGCATTGTCATATTTGCAAGCAGATTGATAACTGCAGTTTTTTTATCAATGTGTCCCAGGAAGGGTTTTTTTTTCTATCTAAGCTACTAATTAAATATCTTCGGGCTAGCAGCCTAAATATATTAGTTCTATACTAAATTGCCTCTAACGATACCCATGAGATAGGATAGGATGATAATTACTATTATCCAATAAACAGCAAAAATTTGAAACATGTAAAGACAATATGGAGTTTGAGTTTAATAGTTTATTTATTTAAAAACTTAAATGTAACACCTTAAGGTAAAGGGTACATAGGGCGGACTTAATGCCATATGGCATTCACTGCCAATCAACCCTGGGTGCCAAAGACAATTGTAGGCAGGTGCTAAACATAATACATAAATAAAGTTTATTTATATTAAAATATAATGTATACATATATATATATATATATATATATATATATATATATATATATATATATATATATATTACATACATACACATACACAACATATATTGAAATAAATATAACATATATTTACATACAATAATACATACATACATATATGTAATGTGTATACATGCTTATAAACTTTATAAATATCCGTATTAATATATAAATAAATAAATATTTGAAGAAAGAAAAATGTCAGTTTTAGCGTTCAGTGGACAACGCTTATTGGGGCATGTGATATAGATGCGCGCTCGTTATACTATTTGAGTGACTGCCACACAGGATACTGCAAAACTATACAACATGTTGTGCTTGACACCGCTAAACCTTGCCCGCTACAAGCTCTACTGAGGCCTTCTCTTTAGGTCTAAGTGGAAAAATACGACAGTCTGTGCGGCGTCCCTGCGCGATTTCTATACAATTAAAGTAACCGTCTTCCAGAATATAAGAGTGTGACAAGCACGCCAATCGCCCTGCACCGCTGCACGTTTTTTTTTAGTGCCTTCCCTTTAGGTCAAAGTGTAAAGCGTACGACTGTGTTTGTGGCGTAGTGGCTTGTAGTCTATTAACTCAAATGACCGCCACATATGACACTATAATAAAAGAGTGTATGATTTTTATGTACGCCGAAGACCCTGCAACGTTTCACGCATACAACTCAGGTCTTTCCTTTAGTTCTTAGTGAAAAGCAGTCAGCGGTGTGTATGCCATATCAACGCGTTTCCTAACAACAAGGTGAAACGCCACTCAGAATCCTGTAACACAAAATTGATGTCGTTATATCATAGTGGTATCATGCATGCAGAGCAATGTGCTCTGCATGCATGATATGCTTTGATAAAAGTTGTCTACTGAGGCCTTCCATTTAGATTAAAGATCTGATCGGAGAGCGTAGTGGTACCAGTCCCACGTAACCTGGGAGATACAGGGAACCTATAACTTTTTTGGACTCCATCCTTAGAATAGGACCGTGGTCAAAAATTGTGGTCTCACGAGACCTCAAGTTTGACACTTCCGTCGTCGTATATTTTTGGAAACATATGGTTGAGTAAAAGTTTAATAAATAAAAAACGCACTAAATTATATACAATGAATAAAGAAAATACACTAAACGTTCCTAAATTGAATTTCATGGCCGTTAACAATAGACTAATAAATTTTAAATGTTCGCAAAAAATATTTCGAACTTAAAATAACTCCAACTAACTTTAACACGGGTGCTGTTAAAATACTAAAATAAAACGTGATTTGAAATCGGATTTCGCATTCTGAATATTACACTACAATTTTCGCTCGGGTCTACCACCTGGGGACATTTGTAACGAATGCTTAGAAATAAAATTTCAACCTTATGCTTTTGTCTACAAAGTTCTAGCTATAATAACAAAAACAAGTAATTTTTCACGGTGTGTCAAGAAAAATAAAAGTAACGGTATACACCAAGAAATATATCGATAACGTTGTTTGTTTGTTCAAAATAGGAACAGACGTAAACATAAGTTGTTTCAACCTGCTGTTTATTTATTGTTAGTGAATGCGATTATTACCGCATAGAGTGTGCGCTTAGAATTTCTAACAGAATTGGCTACGAATGCAGCTAGCATTTTGTGGTAGATTGGAAAGAATTTGAAGAATTCGAAATGTCAAAAAAATAATGGGCTTGATCACATAAATATAAATTGAAATTTGAAGATTAATTCAGAATCTGGTTACTCTGAAATTAAGTAATCAACTTCATTTGATCAATCCATTATCAATTCTAAAAAACATTTATGGTCATAAAACGCATTTTCTCTAATTGTCAGTGTATCCTGTTTTCTTGTTCACTTACTAAATGTCTTCACGTACGACATGGATTACGTATATTATATAGCGGTTGATTTTTATATTTGACCATTTTAAAATATCATCATCATCATCATTACAGCCCTTCACAAGTCCACTGCTGAACATAGGCCTCCCCCAAAGAATGCCACAAAGCACGGTCCTAAACCACCTGCATCCATCGACTTCCTGCATTTCTTACCAGGTCGACACTCCATCTCGTGGGGTGACGCCATACACTTCGCCTACCGGTACGAGGCTGCCACTCGAGAACCTTTCTTCCCCATCGGTTGTCGGTTCTTCGAGCTATATGGCCGGCCCACTGCCACTTCAGCTTACTAATCCGTTGGGCTATGTCGGTTACTCTGGTTCTGCTGCGGATATCCTCATTCATAAGTTTATCACGCAGAGAAACTCCGAGCATAGCCCTCTCCATAGCTCGCTGAGCAACCTTGAGCTTCCTCATACGGCCAGCAGTGAAGGACCACGTCTCAGTTCCGTAAGTTATCACTGGCAACACGCACTGGTTGTACAATTTCGTTTTAAGGTTTTGAGGTATGTCTGACGAGAAGATGTGTCGTAGCTTCCCGAACGCCGCCCAGCCGAGTTGAATCCGTCGATTGACCTCTCGGTCGAAGTTGGACTTACCTAGTTGGACTATTTGTCCCAGGTAAACATACTCGTCAACAACTTCGAGCTTAGTGCTCCCAACAACTACCGGCATAGGTGTGACATAGACATTAAACATGATCTTTGTTTTGTCCATGTTCATCTTAAGACCTATCCGTTGGGAAACACTATTGAGGTCATTGAGCATAGTGCTTAGGTCCTCCAGCGATTCTGCCATAAGGACTATATCGTCGGCAAATCGAAGGTGAGTGATGTACTCGCCATTGATGATGATACCGTATCCTTTCCAGTCCAGAAGCTTGAAAACGTCTTCCAATGCAGCGGTGAAGAGTTTCGGGGATATGACGTCACTCTGTCTTACACCTCTCTGCAATTGGATTGGTTTCGTACTCTGGTTCTGTACTCGGATAGCCATCGTAGCCCTACTGTACAAGCACTTCAACACTTCGATATACCGACAGTCAACTTGGCACCGCTGAAGGGACTGCAGCACCGCCCAAATTTCGACGGAATCAAAGGCTTTCTCATAGTCCACATACGCCAGACATAGTGGCAAATTGTAGTCTTCGGACTTCTGTACAATTTGCCGAAGCGTATGTATGTGACTCTCGAAAATAGCACGTAGACGCGGCTCAGAAGGGAAATCGGTCTGTAGTTCTTCAAGAGAGCGTTGTCACCTTTCTTGAAGAACAAGACCACCGCACTTCTGCTCCACGCCTCCGGTGTAATGCCACCATGGAGGACGGAATTAAAGAGCTTCTGAAGAACTTCAAGTACCGGTCTTCCACCCGCTTTCAGAAGCTCTGCTGTAATTACATCCTCGCCTGGGGCCTTACCGTTTTTAAGGTGCTGGAGAGCCATTCTAATCTCGCTCAGACTCGCTCTTGGATCGTTACTCACACTTGCGTGTGGGTCCAACGATGACGTGTACAGCTGCCCATAGAAC